ATGACCATACAAGTATATTGAAGAAAAATAATCGTGATCCGGGAACATGTAGACCAGATATAACTCATCAGTGTTTATTAATGTTAATGGATAGTCCTTTAAACAGAGCTGGATTATTACAAGTTTATATCTGTACAGAAAAAAATGTATTAATAGAAGTGAATCCGCAAACTAGGATTCCAAGAACATTTAAACGTTTTGCTGGTCTTATGGGTAAAAAATAATATAACAAATTACTAATACTGTGCACTAAATAAGAAATTATGCATTTTATGTATTGGATTTTAAGTTTATTTTTACAACTTTTGTATTTTACAGTTCAATTATTACATAAATTTAGTGTTCGAGCATCTGATGGGCCAATGAAACTATTAAAAGTAATTAAAAATCCAGTGACAAACCATTTACCTGTTGGATGTCGTAAAATAGCAATGTCATTTAGTGCAAATAAGGTACAGAATCCACGTGAATTAGTTCTTCCTGATGAACCAATTGCTATTGTAGTAGGTGCAATGGCACATGGACAGGTATGTATTGTACATTCAACAGAAATGTTTCTAAATTATAGAGATTTTCTAAACCAAACTCATCCTTTCTCTATTAAATTCTTACTTTAAATTACAGGTAAAGCCTGATTATATAGAAGATACTATATCTATAAGCAATTATCCATTATCTGGAGCTTTAACATGCAGTAAATTGTGTACCGCATTTGAAGAAGTTTGGGGAGTAGTTTAGATACTAAATTGACTACATGCATTATGTACATGTAAATTACACGTGTTATATTTATTTTTGTATAGAATTATAAAATTAGTCTTACTAAATATAAAACGTAATAATAAAAATGATAAAATACTTTTGCAATTAAATATAAATATAATAATGTATTTTGATATTGTAATATTAAAATATAATAAATTGTACATAACTGTCATTCGTAACGAGTGGTGTATATGCATGAATGTCCTCATTCAAATATTTACGCATGGAAAACGGAAGAAGAAACTATTGCGCAATTCTCAGTGGAAAATCCTAAACGCAATGACTCATCAACATTGGTTTTTAAACGATTGGTCGACTCTACGGTGACTTTACTGCCATGCACCAATCGCTATTCAGAACGCGGCAAGCGAAATGGCGACCGGAAGAAAGCTACATATGCGCCATCAAATTCTTAATACTTAATTTCTCTTTTGACTTTCGTATTAAATTACGTCATCAACGCAAAAATGGTTGTCAATCCCGAGTATGCAGTACGTTCTTTTATCTTCATGCAACTTGTTATACGAAGATTTTACTCTGTTGTTTTCTAAGTCTTAAAAGCTATTACTTTTGTGATCTAACACTTTCACTCTCAGTGATTTTAGTTGAAATCGTGATGCATTGAAAAGTAATTCTACAACCGTCAAAGAGACGCCATTTTGTGATTTAGTGCCATTGTAGTTTGCATCAATGTGCGAAATGAAAATGTCTTGCAAATTCTAATTCACATTGAAATACTATTTCTTTTGTATTGTGTTTTTCGAATGATTGAATTATTAGTGTTACAAGTGATAAATGTAAAGTTGCGAAATTGACTACCGTAGTCAATGTCACAGGTTTACAGTATCTGCCTGATGCGTCAGCATTTACTTTGCGATATTGATTGGATTTTCTACATTAATTAGATCGTTTATATGAATGTGTTATTGCGTATTTTCGCAAAACATGATTGTTTTATGTTTTTAAATTGTATTCTCCAAAGTATCATAACACAACAAAGATCAATTATTCATGCCTCGCCATATTTGATATGTAACGGAACTTGCTCAGAGGTGATGACAACTCACACGTCATGTCAAGATCTCAATTCTACTCGCGCGCAATATTCGCCACGTGTCAATTACGTTTTTAATTATTACGCCATTTACGTTATTATTTCAACAATTTAGGAGGTAGTGATGAAAATAAACGTAATTATAGATTTTACGGTATCCCAAAATGCATTGCAGGTAGTTACAGAATCGTGGAATTGGACCAAGACTTGCGCGGTGATTAATAAATTTTAACCTTCTATTTCAAATAAGAAAATTAATAACTGTTTATATTCTAAAATGTTATGTTGCAACTTCTGAAATTATCTGTTATTAATAATTATATTTATAGATCATTATTTTTGTGATGTAAAAATGCATTATGGGTGGACATGGAACGATGGAAACTAACCATTAATTTTTGTGTTGGTTAAGAAAGTGTAGTCTCATTTTATGTATAAGAAACTGTAATTATTATACATCCCAATACCTGTATCCTTAATGTACCAATATTATCGTACTTAATAATAAAAAAAACTTACCTGAAAATAAAATTTATTGCGTTGTTACAATTCAATATGCTTTAAAAATGTGTGATGTGCATTAGATAACGAAATATCGGATATTTGTAGTCTACATATTTAGAAATTCCGTGAACAATTTCAGTAAAAAGTAACGGTAGTCACATAAATTGGTGAAATAATATTTTTTAACAGCAGAATATAAGTAAAGAGATAGAAATTAAAAAGAATTTTGGATTATACATAAACTATTTTTAAAGTTAGCGCTCCTCCGTTCGGGTCTGCTCGGTTAAGTTCGGTTGGCGGAGTACGAGGGGAATGGATAGGCAGGTCGTGTTCGAGGAACAACGGAATAGGACCATTCGGTACGTCGCGGAAGAATGCGTAGCCATTGTTGGTGCTGCGATCGTTAGTTTCTAGATCCGAGATCGTCATGGGCACGGGAAGCCATCCGATTGTACGAGACTCCAGGAAAATGTCGGTGGAGCTCGGCACGAGGCACTGATACGATATTAGTGTGAGAGATCGACGTCCGCATTCGTAAGTGTGAAACTAGTTGGTCGGGCCGCGTCCGCGTTCGTCGCGTATGCGAACCGAGCGCTCGCACGAGTGAGAGTGAGTGAGTGAGTGATACGGTGGGGCACACTCGGCGGCGGCCATAACACCGACCAACCAAACTAGCAAGCAGGGAGAAAGCGTAGTGCGAGTCGAGTGTTCAAGACGTAGTGGTAGTGTTTTTCAATAGAATTCCTGTGGAAAGTGGACTTCCATTAATGAGGTAAGTGATTACGAGTAATCTTGGACTTTGTGGGTCTGTTGATGATAAGTATCGCGCGTGGTGTGTGTCGTGGTGGTGCATAAGTGGCGGCTGTAGCAGCGGGCCCTTGGGAGCTTTCTTTCCCGAGCGGCCATACCGCCATGTTGAAACCTACGCCAAATCGAGTAACCGAAAAGGCGGCTCGGGTATTTCGCGCGCGCCAGAATTGTCCGATGTGAGAAACGTTGCGAATTCGGCGCTAGTCGAGCGCTCGACTAGATTCTCACACGGCGGCTTGCTCGTGTTTGTTGTGTGCGTCGGCTGGGTGCATCGGCTGGGCGCGGGTCTACTACCCTTCCCCTCGCCATCCTCTCCTACTTGTTCTCCTCCTCTTCCACTCTCGCATCTACCGCGTTTATTTCTTTCCCATCGTCTCTCGTGAATCTCACCTTTCTCTGTTCCTACTTTGACGACTTTTAACCACCAAGCACCTGTTTAGCCCGCGATACTCTTATCTCTTGCCCTTGATACTCGGATCTCTACGAATAGAACGTCTCCACGGCATGGATTGTTCTGGCAATACTCCTCTTCACCACGGTAGAAGCTCTTGCTTCCCATGCTCAAAATCTTATGGTCATCCACGAGATCAGTTCTGTTCTCTGTATTATCAATTTTGTATTTCAATAGTCAGCTCACTTTCTATACCAGTGTACCAGTTATTTGTGCTACTTTTGTCAAACTTTCCATTTTGGCTTACACTGGTCTTGAATAAAACAGGGTATGCACACTGAATCTTGTACACAATTTCTGATATGATTATGCATCAAAAGTGTTACACTTTGAACGACCACTTATGTTTTTAATACTTTTCACATTCACGTATATTATTCATACTCATTTTCTTGATATTTCATGTTCACGTTACAAGAAACTTTTGTACCAATTAACATTTCATATTTAAATTTTTTTTTAATGGAGTACAATATTGGACAACTGTTATTACAATGTATAGCAGTAAATATTTTCAATGAGACACATGTAAAAATATTAAGTACTTCATAATGGGTGTATATTTTTGAAATTATTATGTTATTTATGGAAACATAATTGTCCAAGAATGCAATGTAATATAAGAGGCAACACAATTATACTTCAGCTGTTTCTGTTATATTTTTCATGAATAATGTCAAAATTGTTTCTCTGTTTATGCCTGATACAGAAAACATTTTCCAGAGATATTCAAACAATGATAAATGTCAAGATTGATATACGCATACTGTATTTCTTGTATAAAATGTAGTTTTCACTTGTGATATTTTTGTAAATGAGTTGCTAAGAGGTCTTAAAGGAGCAATTTGAACTTATGCGTAATTTAGTAATGATTATACATACAGTATTATTTCGTGTACAGTGAAGTGGACAAAATTGTTATATGTTCAGCATGTATCTTATAAATTCAGTATTGCATGATATGTTAAATAAATTAAATATTTACAGCATATTTTTATATATATATATATATATAAAGTATTAAGTATTAAATATATATAAAAATATATACATAATTTGAGAATAAAACATTGTTTAACTTGCTCTAAAGCGATAAAACAATTTGGGGTTGTTACAATACGGGGTCCTGTTGTTATGTTATCCAGATGTTGCTAATGTCGCGAGTCTTGGCTGGAGGTACGGAGTCTCACAGCAGTGTACAGGGCTGACATTCAAAGTACTACCATTTGGTAGGCTTGAGTAGTGTTATGCCTCCACGGCACCAATCTCCCTGGTTGCAGCGCAATCATCTTGGCAAGCAATTAGTGAGCTACCATGCTCAGTTCAGAATATATCCTTGCCATCTCAATTGTTGATGAAGCCTCATAGCGTCAAGCATCAACGTAAGGCAGTTACCTGCTGCATAGCATTTATGTACCATATATGTCGGAAAGGTAGGTGAAGCTCATTATCGTGGACTCAATGAGCCTTATATTATACAATAAACCTAGTTATTTTATAAAATGTGTAAGCGAAGCTTAGTAAGTATATCGGTTGAATATTAACATGACACGTGTAGTGAAACCAACAGTTTTAAGAATGAAAGGAAAAATCATTATTAATCCTAAGAAAATAATTATAAATACATCACATTATAAGCTTATAATTGTGGCGTTAATGTAGGGCAAGTTATGTACATGATCCTTTATAATTAAGATGTTTGTTTACCCAAATATGCGAGTCAAATTCTGTACTGAATAGTACTTCTATTTCTTTAATATTTATGTATGAAGTTTCCTTACGCGTTCATTTTTTTCTGTTGCAGAAACGAAGCCAAGATGCAGCAGGTGGACACTATCTCGCAAAATAATTCGGTAAGTAATCAATTGGGTTTTATAACATAATTTTAAGTGCAGCTTGCTTATTAATCTACTAATGCTATATATAAAAGCTGCATTCAATTAAATATTTTTCCTTTGTATGATTCTCATGTAGCAGATATACATGTTAAACAGCATACAGAGATATATTATTTTCCTATTTCTTTGAGATGAAATTCCTTTATATACTAAAAATATTTTGTTATTTATTTCTACAAATATTTTATGTTGTAGTGATTTTGCATAGTATTCATACACAAATTTTTTTCAGTCAAAGTTTTGTATTTTTCAAAAGCACAAATTTTGTTAAGTCACAAATTCTTTATGCTTTTTAAATTAGATACATTATTTTTATCTACATTTTATTCTATCAATGCTTTACTGTATTTTATGTTCGCTATCTATGGCTAAACTATTTATACTATTTAAAGAAAAACTAAGATACATGAAACCACCATTGTGTATGTCCTTACTCCTGGTATTATGCTGAGCACAATTTTTTTTTTTAATGTAATAAAACTGAGCGATGTTTGATTGAATGGTATGTATGAATTACAGTTAGATGTGGAGGAGCGAGAAAG